ACCGCTGCGGCGCGCAAGTCCCTGACCAGAAACCTATCTGCCTCTCTTTCTTCAGTTGTTCGCAACTGAATCTGTTCTGGTGAACACTCTTGATGAATGCTCCCGGCATTGCCACCCAAAAATTTCCACCAGCTTCTCCTGCAACGATGCCCGGCCCACGCCAACGAGCCGTGCACTTCTTGATCCCACGACCTCGCCGCCACACTGCGACTTCATCTCCACGGAACTCCCGCTTCGGCCGTGGCCGTGAGTGCAATCCTTGCTCGATGGTCAAGTGACTCGAGGGCTGACTGTCGAGCTACTAGCCTTGCCCGATGGGGAAAGTCTGGCATCATGCAAAATTGCACTGTTGGAAATAGGGTTTGCTTCATTTGATAAGATGTCATCACCAGGAATCTCCGGGTCTCTGCCAAAAACCAACTGATAAGCACTATACCCACCACGTCTCATGAGACTGTTCTGAGCTTCTGTTGTGACATCTACACATTCCAGCCATTGGTTGTAGTCTTCTGTGGACATTTGATCGATGACCTTCCTCAGCATTGTTTCAACATGCCTGCCTTGCACCTCAACGTCACCCATCTGTTCTTGAGCAGAGTCGTTCCATCCCCTTCCAAGATGTCCAAAAAGTGTTGCCCTATAGATTGCATCTATTAGCATCGAACTTCAAGAACCTGGGTCTCCCAGAACTTCTGGTCCATTGTCGATACAGTCTACCAATAACGTCTGAGTTCTTTGTTTCACGGAATGGATACATGTGCTGAAGACCTGACGCACGGCAGACGATGTTCAATGCCTTGATCGGATGATCTCGCTTCCATGATGGGAGGTGCTTGACATCAATGCCAACATATCTGAGGGGAGCGAGGTCACGACGAGGCACAGCGCTCTGCTTCACCGCTTTGGGTGCAATGATTTCACGTGTTCCAGCACGATGGGTTGTGCTCCATGATGTCTCAAAATGCACAGCATGTCTTCTATTGATGCATGACCCAGGTTGACGTGCATTGGAACGCAAAAGAAGGTTGAACCCTTTCACGATTGATTTTCTCTTCTGGTTTGTGTTGGACGTTTGCCTGGCTGATTGCAAAACAATGATGTTGTTCATTTGTTGCAAAACCACTGAGAATTCGTCGAAGTGGATAACTTTGTGTCAACAATCTCATCAGCCTTGAGTCGTCCCCTCCACTCGCTGATGAGCATGATGACCATCACACTCCAGCTTGGACAATTCCAGTGCGATTCCTCCAGCATTTGTGAGGAATGACCACTTCTTGCCAAAGAGCTTGTGGGTCGAAGGATCACGGAGACCCACTGCGCAAGCTGGGACATCCAGCCAGTGGCCACCACATTCATCCACGAGCTTCTGTAGGCATGGTTGTCTCCAGGCATCGCTCGTTGCGATGATTCGAAGACGAAGTGCCTGCCTCGTTTCATCTGCCTGAATGCTAACTTGCAGCACCATGGCCTTTGCTTCAGCCGCTTCACGACAGAATCTCTTTGGGTTCTTTCTCTTGTTCATCGGTGTGCATGCAAGTTGTCTTGATAAAGGACAACATGGAGGCGACATGATCAGCAGATCCGGGTCGCTCATCTCGATAGCCATCTCGGCTTTCTCCCGATGTTGTCGGTTGGTCCAGTCCCATCCACTGCTCAAATCACCCTTGACTCCGAAGACCACATTGTTCAGCATGAGCGCGAAAGCGACCCGGGCAGAACACCTCCACCGTCGGAGCTTCCTCGGCATGGGTTCTCAGCACCTGAAGAAGATTCTGTTGCACCTTCTTGCGGTCATCAGCCTTGAAGACGGCCAACGACACGGCCTCGTCATCCTTTGACTCACTTTCTTCCGGCGGTGTCTGAATCAGCTGACTCTCGGCTTTCTGTCTCCGTCCATCACCTGGTCATCGTCCGTGAGATTGGTGTTCTCTCCCATCTGCGCACTCAACACGTCGACCTCTATCGAAGTGGGGGGGTCGTCATCTCCAGGTCGAGCTGAGCTCGGAGCCATCTTTTCGTTGGCCCATTCTGTCGTCACATGGATCTTCAGAATAAATGTGTTCGTCTCGAGAATCTGGGCTCCGGAGTTGAGAAATCTCTTGGACACCAGGAGTGGGACACCTGGGACGACATGGACACGCATGATCTGCCTGCCCTTGATGAACACTGGAAGCTGCACATGAGCCGTTGCCATATCTGAAAGCATGAGGTTCATGAGGAAGTTCCACAGTGTCCAACCCATGCCTTTGGAGTTCACTCGCCGACCAGCCCTCTGTCACCGCCGGTGTTGACACCAAAACCAGCGCCATGCACCAATGCTGCCAGCGTTTCCTTGTTCTCCTCTTCGTCATCTGACGGCGGTTCATTCCACATCTCAGGTCTTGGACACTTGTCTCATCTTCCAGTTGCTCTGTCTGCATCGATCGCTCCTGAACATCAATATTTGGGTCGACTTCTCCGGCGTCTCTGAGCAGACAGATCGTTTGTCCAGTCCACTCATAGTCCTGGCCCGTATGAGCCTGGTCTCTTCTCCTCCAGTTTGTGCTCTTGATGTGGGTCGTGGTGCCATCCTCTTGGATGGTTCGAGTGATGCGAACCTTCGGCACTGGACATCCACTCGACCCAGGGGTGAACAAGGACTGTCGTGGGGATGTATTCCCAGCCACGCACTGGCTCGAGCCTCGACTTGCTGTCCAAACCACGGTGGTCCTGGAGGATCTTGCATATGCATCACCTCTGTGGCTTCTGCATCTTCATCCGAGCTTGGTGGCCCAGGCAGTCCATTGGCCTTGATGCCAAAAGGGAGGAAGGCATTGGACCAAACTGGCCAGACCATGAAGACATAGTTCACCCTTGACTGATTGGTGTTGGTTGATGCCGTCAACGCCGACGATGAACAACCCTTGCCATAGCTCGCGGCTGAAGTGGCCCACTTGCACTTGAAGCATCGAACTCTGGCCTCAAGCTTCTGCCGAAACCACGGCCGGCGAAACCTCCGGTGGAGTTTCTCCTTGGCAACCCCAGTCAAGTCAAGTCTGTCGCCTCAGAAAACAGTCTGTCTTGCATTCTGTTCTTCAATGAGCTCATTGTCGTCCATGTCAATTGAGAAGATGGGGTCCTCCTCCAGGTCGTCGCCCTCGAAGTTCTCCTCATCGGAAACCTCACAGCCACATGGACACTGGTGGATTGCCTCGTGGCTTGATACAAGTTCTCAGGATATGTCGTGCGGGGCGCCGAGGCAATGTCCTTCTCCTCATATAGCTTTGCCTTGCCACGGCCATCACAACCGCCTTTCGCTCCTGTGACAGCTTCAGAAAACGAAGAAGTACATAGCCACGAGCCACCGATAGGAATCGAACACCTTCCGATTCGGCTGCTGCGAATGCTGCTCGGACATTTCCCGTATAGGTGGCGGTGGACTCACCCTTGTCGATCTTGAGGTCGAATATTCTATCCAGAACGTTTGGAACAACAGATCATGGCTTCCTGGTCCATCGATATCGTCCATCGATATGGAATCAAAGGTCGCCAATGCAGTTCCGTCCAACAGGGTGTACAGCAAGCTTCCATGCGTGTCTTCAGAGGTTCCGCGGGCTTTCTAAACACTGAGGTATGCCCTTGACCATCTTTTCCACCTCCGATAGTCAGCCTCGGGGTCAGCGCCATCGCCTGAAAACCTCTTCACAGCTGCTTCATGCTTGCCGCCTTCTTGTCCAGTCCCTGCCATCAACGCGTCCGAGTGGGCCCCTCTTTGGGGGCTCCGCTAGCAGTTCAAAATGGTTGCCCTTCTCGCGCAAAATGATGCGCCTGCACCACAAGGAAAAACTCCGAGCCTTTTCTAAGGGCCAAGCTCGATTCGGGTCTCCTGCACTGTTCCACAGTGTCCTGACCGCTACTCGACCTGTAAACATAGCGGTGGCGTATGAACATGATCCAGCATGCCTGACAGGTGCTTTTCACAGTTGGTCACGGTGATTGCTTCCTCAATACTTTGAAACCACTGCCAGGAAACGTGCTGAAGTCTGTAAGAGTGTTGCAGTTCCTCCTGCTTTTGGTGCGCCGCCACTTGCTTAAGGCTTGATTTCCAAGCAGCCAAGCTTCTTGGAGTCTTTGGTCCCAGGGCTCTTTCCGACATGTATGTCTTGACAGGTGGCTCATGCCTTTTGCGGATAGTTTTCGGCCAAAGTTTTAGGCACCTGTGGCACTAAGAGAGACAACAGCACTGGTAGGAGCTCGTCAGCCTTTACTTCGCCTGAGTCTGACTCAATAGCAAGCATCATCAAGCATCCCAAAGAGGTGCTTTCGTCCTGATGATGCACTTCTGAAAAGTTAAAGGCGTATAGTGCAGTGCTGCAGCGTTATCATGTGTTCCCTCGTGTCCCTCGTTTGCTTTGCCAAGTCCAAGGAAAGGTTCCGACATGTTCCGGCACTTGTGACATTGAAGCCGCATGCCAGTCCCAGATAGCCTAGACCTGCTCCTCAGCCTTTGCTATGTTGCAAGGTCACCCACTCCCTGTTCAGAGGGGCCACATATTTGGTAGACTATTCAGCCAGTCATTCCCATGTGAGGTGGTCGTTCCTGCCTTTCCACCTGGCTGGGCATGGTGGACGATGTACATGTTGTAGCCTCACGTGACCGGTCAATCTGCCCACCAAAGAGTCGGAAAAGCACTTGACATGTGGAATCAATATTGGCAAACATGTTCGCACCCAAGCACTTGGTTAACGGCAGTTGTTCATTCATCTCGGTGCGGGCCGATAATTGTTCAATGTTTGCCCAACAAGTGAGGGTTAAAACCACTAGGTTTGCTGTGGGATAGTTGGAGATAAACGTTGGAAATTCTCGAAGCCTGCAAGAGAATGAACTTCAATGAACCCTACAAAAATCACATTTTTGGGGGCAAGTGGCCCTTGCCAGTGGGCTGAAGGTTTCGATCCTTTTTCTTCTTGACGGTGGACTCTTGAAGGCTTGGACGAAGATCAAGACAGATCAATGGTGTCGGGATTCTGTATAGCGCATCATCCTGGGAAAAGTGTTTGCATTCCAATAGTGCTGGCGACATGATGTGGCTCTTGGCCAGTGCCTTGGGAAGTGGATGATCGCGGTTTCTTGGCTCCAAGCACATGGCCCAAGGGAACCGCGTCAATGCAGGGATTTCAGGGCTCCGTGTCCTGCTTCAGAATGCGCCGTATACTCAAGCTGAGAGAGTGGCACCAATCATTACTTGAATGCCTGGACACTTGAGTTCTTTGGTTTTGAGGGTTGCAGAATGGTTATATAATCAGCTTCATCTGAGGCGAACGCTGTCCTGCCGTAAGGCCTGTGGAGAGCACACCCTTTTTGTTCGATACAGATCCTCCCAAGAGCATTGTGCAAATGTTGTTTTTACCGAAGCATCGGAAGAGTTTCCTTTGCCAGGCACGGCCTTTCATACTGTGCAAAGTTGCTTTTGAGCAAGGCTCGGGAGCTGGCTGGCATCTGTTTCACGTCATGAAAAGCAAAGGCCTGACGCGGCCACGGTTTGACGTATCACATCATGGGGGCTCTGACCGCTTGAGGCGGTGAAAACACTTTTGCGGTCAGCGTTTAACAGTTGCAGGAACCCAGATATGGCTGACGTGATGCAAGAGGCGAAAGCAGAGAGATTGATGAAAGAGCTCTCCCCAAACTTGGTTGTAAATATTTGTAAATCCCCTTCCCAGTGATTTTGCAGAGCATATCAGATTCCGTTCCGTGTTCGCGCCCAGCTGTTACAGCAAAGGTGCCGCGTTTTGAGGGATTCTACTTGGCACCGCATAGAAGACTATGGACATGGGTCACTCCATTTGGGGTTTTGAGTGCAGCAGGCCAAAATGGATGAATTTCTCGAGTGATTGGATGTGGTTAGCAAATGCCATGACTCGCTTCGACGGGATTCGCGAGGAACTCCACTGGTGTGGGATTTGGAAGAACATTGTTTCTCTCCGGTGATGGATCGTCGCTGATGTGCGGGATGCTTCTTGCCAGGCCAGCTTCATGCGGCGAGATGCTGAGTGAAGACTTCTGTTTGAATGAACGCATTACCAAGAATCATATGGAAATAGACATAGGTCTGTTCATTCGACTTTTTTGCTTGAAGCTGGTGGGTTTGCAGAAACACACTATTCCGATGCACGAGCAAGTGCTGAGGACCCAGAAGAAGAGGTGCCGCCAAGTGGGTTGGAACTCTGAGAGCCAACGTCTGCGGACCACGCCACCCACCCCTCCCCTCCTGAATAGAGCCACCGATTCTGGGATGGGTCCAACGAAGGTTGCTCATCGCTCTCTTCGGGGGGGTCCAACGGTTCTTGCCACCGTTTTTCCACCTACCGGGTACAAAGAACCTTCTCAGCCTGAGGACAGGATCGGAGAGTAGATGAAGATTTTGAACATATTTGTTTGTTAATTACTGAGTAAAGCTCCAAACCGTTCCTTCCTTCCTGTTCGACATTTGAAACACAATGTGGCGTTCCTCCGGGGGTTGGTTCGGCCAGGGCAGCCTGGGAGAACCCCCGCGTGGGGCGTAGATTTCCAAAAGCTGCAGTCAATTGAAGACCTGTGCTCGTGTTGAGTTCTCAACCCCCTTTTACTGAACCGGTTATTTCACTTAGCTTCAAGCATTTGAATGATCCTTATTGGAACTCGGCCGTCGCGGATGATGCCGTCGCGGCCAGGAGTTGGTGGTTTGGTCTTTTGGAGTTGGTGATTTTGGCACTTCCAGACCCTTCCCAGAGACACCTCAGCTGCGCTCCTTTCCTTTGGAATTTCTCGGGATTGGCCTAGATGTTGGCCTGGTCGAGGGGCGCTCTCATCGTTGTAAACCTGTTTCTTGGAGCGGTGTTGCCGGGTGGTTGGTTTCATGTTGTTTCTATAAAGATAAATCTTCATTTGCTTTGCCAGAGACTCGTTGAATTCGCGGCATTGCCAAGAGAGCCCTTGGAAGTTTAAGTGGCTTCTGCTTTCATGATAATTGCCCCACCATCCTGAAGCGGCAGGAGGATCCTTTGCGTCACCAGGCTGGTGAGCTGAGAAACAAGGCTCTGGAGTGGCGGTTGTATCAAAGAAGAACACCTTTTCGGAAATCAAAAAAGAGCAACGTTTGGCACATTTCCCACAGGAAGCACGTGCTCGAGGACCCGCCTAAGGCTGGGGAGCTGCGAAATGTCTGGGTGTCCAAAAGATCGGCAATTGGCTTGTGACACCTGAGTCAGGACCATTTTGTCGGGTGGCGCTACCAGCTCCCTGGGGTGGCTGGGGGCCTGGAACCACTCACGTTGCGTCGTCGGTGCATTCGGTTTTACTCTTTTGGGCCTGCTCCGGAGAGGCCCACCGGTCGAAGCATTCGGAAGACGACGACCATGGTGGACGCCTATGGAGAGACCCTACACTCCAGCGGTCCCAGTGCCTCGGTGTTTGCACACGGGTTCCAGCCGTTCATGACGGGCCTAAGTGACATGTTGTTTCGAGGACACTAGGTAACCGAAACAGATGTGGAGGGATCCATAACGGTTCACATGGTCCCCAAATGATCCCAACTTTTATTACGTCTATTTCACGGTGGAGGAGCTGAAAAGGAAGTGAGTGTTGATGTTCTTTTGGTTTCACCTGAGGCTGCAGCTGCAGCAGAAAAAGCTCCACGCTGTTCCACCTCAGCTGTCCACCTTCAGTCGCTCCAGCCGACCTGGATTCACCTCACTTCCTCCGCTTGCACCACACGCCGCCTCGCCTGCCTTTGCCGCGAATGATGAGCAATCCTTGCAACCTCGTTTTGACACCAAAGTTTGTGCGGGCTTTCGCACAGAGCATCTTTATCATTTGGCCACTTTTGCGCTTGGTGATCGAAACGGGCAGACCTATGGAAGATCTTGTTTGATGCATCCATGAACTCGGTTTGGTGTCGTGTGTAGTCGGCCACTTGGTCAAAGAGCTTTCTGAGCAAGAGAGAGTGGCGTGTTTTTTCTTGAGACACACCTGGCTGGGTCACCTCGGAATCTTCCATCATTTTTGATCGAGACTCAGACGGCGTGCATCCGGGAGTCATTGGGATCTCTTGCAGAGCTACTCTGGCTGCGCATGTTTGGATCCAAACCGTTGAGATTGACTGCCTTTGCTCAAAGGTCCAGCTTTTGAGCCACTTTTTGAGCCTTGACGGGCGGGAGTGACAGCTTCGAAGAAGTGCGACTTGGTCGCTGCTTGGGAGGTCGACTCTGGGTCACTTTCTGGTCACTCTGGTTCTTGCTAGCTGCCAGTGCAAGCAAGCAGCTTTGCGGCGCCTTTGTTCGATTTCGGAACGGCCTTGCTGAACTCTGACAGCGCCTTGGCTTCGCAAATTGAAGCTTATTCTCAGATGTTTTGCTGTTCAATGCTGTTCATGTGCAGATATTCACCGTTCCGGTGTTGACTTTAAATGTTGACTTCGCTGTGCCGAAGCCAAATGAATTTTACAATATGTTACATATGCTTCAATTTTTGGGGAGAGAAGGACTCACAATGCCCAGCAAACCGAAAGATCTTAGGAGATTTCTCAGATCTGTCTTTCATGCTCTGTTCCGCCACTCGACGATCGGCGAAACTCTTCTGAATTGGACCATCCTTGAAACGCTGGATTCAACCTGCAAGAAGGGAGCTACGTCGGAAAACGAAAGCGAGCTCTTCAGTTTGGGGTCTCATTACACCAGCAAACCATCGTAAACCCGCTGGCCCAGCAGAATCGCAGAGAAAAAAAAACTACTTTAGGAGAGGCCTGACCAATGAGTTGACTTTAGAGTAAAGCCATAGGAAGGTTGGAGATGTGCATGGCATTTTGGCGGATGA